GCAGAGACCAGCAGAGCCTGAGAAGGAATTGGCCACGTAAGAGGAGGAGGAAGGTGTTATAAAAGCAGAGAGACCAGCAGAGGCAAAGGCCTGGTAGCTGGAAAAGACGGCATGACCAGAGCATGGTCAAAGAGGAGGCCTTAAATCTTACGGTGGGCAGCCATTGAAGCACTTTATTATTTTAAAATTACATTAAAAAAATAAATGCTCAGGGGCACCTGGGTGGCTCAGTCAGTTAAGCGTCTGACTTCAGCTCAGGTCATGATCTCACGGTTGGTGGGTTCGAGCCCCATGTTGGGCTCTGTGCTGACAGCTCAGACCCTGGAGCCTGCTTCAGATTCTTTGTGTCTGTCTCTCTGCTCCTCCCCTGCTCACACTCTGTCTCTCTCTCTCTCAAAAATAAATAAGCATTAAAAATTAAAAAAAAAAATCTACCTCGAAGACTATCAGCAGAGCTGAACAAGCTAAAACTTGAAAGGCACTTAGCGTGCAGTAAGCCCTTGATATGTGAACAACTGTTGCTATTGTTACAGCTATTTTATGCTTTCTGAACTTGCAGCTGCAGGCCTGGATCTAAGCCATGGCTTTGACCTTGACCGAGCCAAAGTGTGTGATCTCTTAGCATCTCTAGGTAGGGGGCTGGGTGGGAGGGTCTCGGCTTGTTTCTGAGGCTGAGAGGTGGGCATACAGCCGGGGGCTGTCAGGATCCAACAGTCTAAAGCCCAGGGAGGAATGTTCCGTAGGTGTGAACGGGGCAGTGATTAGCACACGGACTTTGGAGAGCTTTCAAACCCTGGGTGTGCTTTTTGGTAGCTGTGTGATTGTGAACAGGTGACTTAACCACTCTGAGCCTCAGTATCTCACCTATAAAATGAGAATACCGTCATTTACCTGAGATTAGGATTGTAAGGATTAAAGGCAATACAGAAGGTATGAAATTTCACACATAGGAGGCGCTCAAGAAACGTCGGTCGCCGTTGTTACTCGAACTACAGTCAGGGGGGTGGGGGCTGGGTGGGAAAGGGGTATTATCTTTCTGCAAGTGCTCCCGGTGTGTCAGGGACTGTTGCAGGTGCTTGAATTCACCAGCTCGGTGATGCCGAGGTTCTGGGGGTTCAAGGGCGGAATCCTGCATCATTTAACTGACCCTGCATCCCTGGTTTTGTTCCTGCTGCCTATCAATGGCTGGCTTCCCTCTGGGGCTCCTCCCTGGGGCTGCGGCCTCCTGTCCATGGAGCTCCGGAGCGTGCTGGCTCGTAGGGCCGTCCCGCCTTGAGACAAGAAGTCTGTGCCTTTACTCCCCCCCCTGTCCATTATTCACTGGCTTTGGGCTGCACTCGGGTCAAACTCCTAGGTGTCTCTGGGCAAGGCAGCCGCTTGTGGTGGCTGCGGGCAGGTCTCTGGAAAATGCTGGTGCCCCAAGCCCTTAGCTGCTAATACTCCCAGAGGCTGGGTGGGGGTGGACGCCCCTCCTGTAAAGGACATGGGCAGTGCATGCTATGCCCCCTCCCCTCTGCCTGCATCTACCCCCCACCCCCCCAGCGACGGTCTGACTGTGGACAGGAGACCTCCTTTCTCTGGATGACCAAGCTGAAATAAGTAGCATCCAGGGTGGCCTCTGGACGGAAGGACCGAACTGGGTGATTCCACGAGTGATCTTCAGCTGTGCAGGCAGAATTTTAACAGGAACTGAACTCCTAGGGTGCGTGACCGAATGCAGGTGGCCAGGTTCCGCCTTGAGAGCAACGCATTTGGAGGTGAGAGTTAGTGGGAGGAGACCGTGTAACCCCATGCCCTCCCTGCTTCCTGGGGTCCCCAGGCCGCAAAGCAGGAGGCAAGGCATTCGGATGAATGTTCCGAGTCCAGTCTAGGGCAGCCAAGGAAGCCCGTAACCTGGGGCGGAACGGGGGCCTGGGGTCCGCGGGCCCAGGACCGCCTCGCTCAGCAACTGACACAGACAGTAACAGACGTGAAGTTTCTTTTCATCAGATTTCCTTTGCACCAGGAGCCGCCCCTGCTTTCTTCCTGTTTTCCAAGTGGAAACAGTGAAGTGGTCAGATTAATCTGGGAAGATTATGTCAACCACAGGGGAGCAGACGAAATGGCTTTTCTGTAAGAGGCTTGCTTCCCACGTGTCCAGGCCTCAGCCCCCCTCTGGCTTTACCCGCTCGAAGACTTAATAAGTCCACGGGCTGCAAGATAGGAGAGAGTGTTCATCTCCCGACTTCTCAGCTACTCAACATCCCCGAAAACGAGGCCAGGCAGTGCCAAGACCCTCAGGGAAATCAGGACCCACTGGACACAGTGACGCACGTTCTGAAATTTTTTTTAAATTAATTAAATGTAATCTCCGTGGCCTCTCCCGCTTTGCTCCTCGGCCAAACCTGCGGGAGGTGGGGAGGGGGGAGCCTCACAGAGGACATAAGCCTGGCTCAGGTCAGCTGCACTGCCTTGGTGTTGAAGGAGACTCACGCATGCATTCAACAAGTGTTTACTAAATGTCTTCTATGCACGAGGTGCTCTGGGAGGTGTTGGAGATTAAGAGAGAGCAGAACAGAAGTCCCGCAAGGGGCTTACATTTTAGACATCAGAGATGCTAACTCTAAGCAAATAAAGACTTAAGACACCTGATAAATTTGGGAAGGGATATGAGCTGTGAAGAAAAGGAAGTCAGAGTAAAGGAAGCCAGAGAGGAGGAGGTGGGGGAGGAGCTGTTTTAAATGGAGCAGTCAGGGAGGGCCCTTTGAGGGGATGCCATTTGGGAATAGGCTAAACAAAAGAAGACGGTGAGCTGAACAAATGCGCCTGTAGCTCCAGGCAGAGGGGAGAGCGAGGAAGTGGGGGATGGAAGAAATGCAGGCAGGGAGACCTGGGGGGCTGAGCAGGGGAGAGTGGGGGGCGGGGTTAGGGAAGGAGGTCACAAGGAGCCAAGGTCATGCTAAGGAGTTTCGATTTTATTCTGGGAGCAATAGGGAGCCATCGAAGACTTTTGAGCCAAAGAGTGAATGACATGGACTGATTTACTGTATTTGGGATAGGGAAGGAAGGGACACAGAGTGCAGACACGGCTTCTGCAGGTGTATGTACCTGTTTTGTGACCACCCAGATCGAGACACAGGACATTTTCATCCTGCAGAAACCCCTTCCCTCTCTGCCCCTCCCCAGCCAATACCCTCCCCAAAGTTAGCGATGGATTTGCTCTGATTTCTACAACCATTGCTCTGTCTGTTCTTAGCCATCAAATAGCGTGTTCTCTTTGCCTGCTGGCTTCCTTCATAAAATATAGTCTCTGTGAGATGCGTCCATTGGGAGTTTGTCCTTTATTGCAGACCGGCGTTCCACTGCTGAACAGACCACGCGGATCTATCTACTCTCCTGCTGAGGGGCACTTGGATTGTCTCTGGGTTCTAGCTGTTACAAATCAAGAGGCCGTGAACGTTCTCATACATGCCTTAGAACGTGGGCGTTTTCTCCTTGGGTCCATACCTAAGAGCAGAATTCGTGAACTGTAGGGTAGATGAATGTTCATAGCTTTTCTTTTTTCTTTTTTTAATATTTTTATTTATTTCTAGGAGAGAGAGAGAGAGAGAGACAGCGTGAGCAGGGGAGGGTCAGAGAGAGAGGGAGATACAGACTCTGAAACAGGCTCCAGGCTCTGAGCTGGCAGTCAGCACAGAGCCCGACGCGGGGCTCGAACCCACGAACCGCGAGATCATGACCTGAGCGAAAGTCAGACGCTTAACCGACTAAGCCACCCAGGCGCCTCCGAATGTTCATAGCTTTGATGGGCCAGCCAGCTTTCCAAGTGCTGGTCTCACTCTCCCCCCACTTCACTCAGAAAAGATTCCCATATCATACAATTCACCCTTTTACAATGAATTTTAGAATGTTCTCAATCCCCCCCAAAGAAATCCTCGTACCCCAGAGCCATCACCTCCTCGTCCCCCGCCCCCCCCCCCAGCCCTGGCAACCAAAATCGACTCTCGGTCTCTATATGTTTATCTATTTCTTACAAAGGGAATCATACAATGTGGCGTCTTTCACTCCGCACCCTGTTTTCAAGGTTCATCCGCGTGGCGCGTGTCAGAACCTCTTTCCTTTTTATGGCCACATAGCATTCCACCGCGTAGACACACGCATCCTGTTTGCACGCTAACCAGTTGGTGAATATGGAGTCATTCCTACCCTTTGATTATTATGAATGATGCTGCTATGAGCATTTGCGTACATGTCTTTTTGTGTGAACATATGTTTTCATTTCCTCTGGGTGGGTCGATACTCAGGCATGGAATTGCTGGGTTCTACAGTAGCGCTGTGTTTCGCCGTGTGGTGCTGTTTTCACAGCTGTGAGTTATGTTGGTAAAGATCTCCCTGGCCGCCGTGTGGAGCGCGGACCAAAGAAAGCCAAGGGTAGATGCAGGGGAGCCATTGAAGAGGCCACCACAGTAAGCCGGGCGGGGACAGTAGTGGTTTGCATCAGCTCAGCAGGGACCCAGGCAGAGAGCAGTGGGCAGATTCCAGGTCTGTTGTGAAGAGCAAGCCAACATGATTTTCAGATGCATTGGGTGTTAAAACCATTTTTTTTTAAAGCCAGGATTAACGTCAGGATTTTGGACCTCGAAGCTGACCAAGGCCAAGGTGACTGACTGGCAGATGAGTCAGATGACATCCTCCAGTAGAATGACCCTGGGTTGGAATTAAGAACCCTGACCCTCTCCCTGCTGGACACGTGGCCTTGAGTTAGTGAAGAAGGAGAATGTGGGTTTTAGGAAGAGGGCTCGCGGCTCTGATCCATTTCTGCCACTAGGGAGCTGTGACTTCAGAAGGAACTTTCCCTCTTGGGGCCTGGGTTTCTCCATCTGGGAAGTGGAGAAGCCGGTGAAGTTCCCCGTCTTCTCTGCACCCCCCGCCCCCGGAGTGCTTGGCATAGAGTAGGGACATGAGAGATCAAAAGCGGCTGGATAGTTGGGTGACATCCTCTCTGGGTGAATGTTTTCCAGGAGGGCCAAACTTCCACCATGACCGACACCGTGTTCAGCAACAGCTCTAGTCGTTGGATGTGTCCCAGTGACCGACCCCTTCAGTCAAAGTAAGTCCCTGCATCTTCCTGGGAGTGGCTTGTGTGGGGTCAGTAAGACCTGACGGTCCTGCACTTGAAGGGAGGGAGAAATAGCAAGGAAAGAAACAGAATTTGCTTCCCTGGGGTGCGGGGAAAAACACCCGGTGGGGTATCGTCACGGAAACTTCTTCACTGATTTTATTGCGTCACAGGGTGGGAATAACAAGATAAAAGTTTGGGGCGCCTGGGTGGCTCAGTGGGTTAAGCGTCCTACTCTAGCTCAGGTTACGATCTCACGATTTGTGAGTTCAAGCCCCGCGTCAGGCTCTGTGCTGACAGCTGGGAGCTGGGAGCCGGATTCTATGTCTCTCTCTCTGCCCTGTCTCTGCTCACAGTCTCTCTCTCTCTCTCTCTCTCAAAAATAAATATTTAAAAATTAAAAAAGAAAACAAGATGAAATTTTGAACTCCATACCGCATAGTAGAGGTGGCACAGTGGAATGGTTAGAGCACTGACCCAGCAGTTAGAATCAGACTTAGTTCTGCTTCTAGATCTGAGCTAATTTACTGCGTGATCACAGGCAAATCTCTTCCCCTCTCTGGGCCGCAGTTTCCTCATCAGTCACATGAGGAAGTTGGACTCGATCACAGGCTGCAAACTGGCAGCCCACAAGCTGACTCTGACTTGCCCCACCAACTGACTCTGACTTGCAACTGTGTTTTTTGGTTTTGTTTTGTTTTTACTGTTTGATTTTGGCCTGATCATTTAAAAACGGGGAAATTTTACATAAAAGTAACGTCACGTGCTGTATCCGGTAATTATTATACCTGAATAAGCGATGTATTGGATGTATTGGATCAGCCAGTGTAGCCTACTGGCTCATGAGAGCTGATAAATTTTCAGGCATTTTGCAAGCCTGAACCGGCAATGGCCAGTTATTAAATACAGCCATTATTAAAAATTAGGTTTATAATGTTACGATTAAATTATATTAAACACAAAGGATATAAATACTCAAAATTAATCAATTATTTTACTACATTGGTTGTTCTCTGCATTATGTTATATATGTTTATTTTGCGCGTGCAAGTGGGGGAGGGGTAGAGAAAGAGAGAGAGGGAGAGAGAAGGGATCCCAGGCAGGCTTCACACTGTCAGTGCAGAGATCATGACTTGAGCTGAAGTCAGACACTTAACTGAATGAGCCACCAGGTACCCCCAAAGAGCACTCTTTTTTTTTTTTTTACGTTTATTTATTTATTTTGAGAGAGAGAGAGAGAGAAATGAGAGAGTATCCCAAGCAGGCTCCATGCTGTCAGCGCAGAGCCTAACACGGGGCTTGAACTCACGAACCAGGAGGTCATGACCTGAGCCAAAATCAAGCATCGGATGCTTAACCGACTGAGCCCCCCAGGCGCCCCAACTATGAAGCCTGTATGGCTAATTGTATTGTTACTGCATATTCCTTCCCAGTTTTGCCTGCAGTGGGGCTTTTTCTCCATTGTTAAATTGTCAGCTGACAGTCTGCAGAGCCTGACAATCTAAGTCTGTGGTTTATCATTCCTGTAGATTTTCACCCAAAATGGCTCATTTCTTAGAACGCTAGGTGATTTCTTATTGTGAGCTCAGTCTGTGAGAGTCCCGCTTCGGGGATATTTTCCTTCGGAGAGATTAACACCCTTGCGTCTGCCAGGATTCAGGGGAGCCGCTACCCCAGGGTGGCGTTGGCCCCCCTTGGAGGGTCCTGGCTCAACGCCGGGGTCTCAGATTGAGCCCCTCCACCCATTAGGGGCGTAAGGTCAGGCTCTGGAACACAGGGCTGGTATTTGCATCGATTTACTGCTCACGGCTCCCTGTCCTGGATTCCATTTGCTGGATTTTCTTTCTCTTTTTCAAAAAATTACCTTCCAAAGTTGAAATATGTACCTTCACAGTACACATTTGAAGCCCAGTTTGATCATTGGAAGAACATAGGCCTTTGCTCATGAAGGTATCACAGTACTCAAGATAATGAACAGATCCATCCATCCCCAACGTTTCCTTGTGTCTCTTCCTCCCCCCCCCAACCCCCACACCTCTAGGTAATTGCTCATCTTTCTGTAACCATACATTAGCTTATGCTTTCTAGAATTTCACGCAAACGGAATCATACTGTGCGAGCTCTTTTATGGGAGATACCTCTCTTCTTTTTCATGATCCACCTTTCTTGTTCCAAAATATCCGTATGGTTTTGCAGATCAATAGTTTGTTCCTTTTTTTATTACTGAATTCTATTTCATTGTGTGGCTATACCACAATTCGTTTATCTGTTCGTCTGCTGATGGACTCTGGGCCGTTTCCGGTCTGGGGCTGGTACAGATAAAATCGCAGAGAGCGATGCTTTCTTCTTTTTTTTTTATTTTAATTTTTTTAATGTTTTTTATTTATTTCTAGGAGAGAGAGAGAGAGACAGCGTGAGCAGGGGAGGGTCAGAGAGAGAGGGAGTCACAGACTGAAACAGGCTCCAGGCTCTGAGCTGGCAGTCAGCACAGAGCCCGACGCGGGGCTCGAACCCACGAACCGCGAGATCATGACCTGAGCGAAATCGGACGCTTAACCGACTAAGCCACCCAGGCGCCCCTCTTCTTTTTTTTTTTTTTTTTTAAATGCTGTAGATAAGAGTCCTTTATTTGGATACACATTTTTGCAGCTATTTTCTCTTGGTCTCTGACTTGCCTTTTCTTTCTCACAACAGAAGCTTTTGAAGAGGGAAAGGTTTTATTTTGACCAAGTCTATTGTGTTTATTTGTTTTGCAAGGGGAGGCGGTGTTGGAGAAGTCCCTTACTTTCTAGCAACCGCAGAACTGCATTAAAAGAAGAGGGGAGCTCTGCTCTAATTTATCTGGGACCTAATTATACTTTGGCGAAGGGTCTTTCTTTTTTTTATTTATTTATTTTTTTACAAATAGTTTATTGTCAAGTTGGTTTCCACATAACACCCAGTGCTCGAAGGGTCTTTCTGAGTGTTCAGTCCACCCGTGTTCTCTGAAGCAAAAGCCCCTATCTGCTTGCTTCTATTCCAAACTTCAAGTTCTAGGAGTTTTACAGTTTTGAAGACACTATGGAACTTTTCCAAAGGAAACTTCTTTTCTGCCAAGCCCCTCCCATGGTGTTCTCTTGGAGCCAAACTTACTTTGCAGGGAACATTCCATCGGCCAAAAAATTGTGTTTCTGTAAGATAAACAGTTGCCTGAAGGGTGGATGGGGGCAAGGTATTTATTTTATTTAAAAAATGTCAGTTAATTAAAATACCATCCATCAGAGTTTCCTTTAGTCCCTAGGAAGCCAAACAAATTGCCCTACAATTACATTAAAACTATTCCAACAGTATGGACGCAATTTCCATAAAGTGCTCCTGTGTTCCTGTGAAACATCTTGGCATTCTGCATGCATCCGGCTGCCTTGATTGCTTCTATATTTCCTTTAGATATTAAAAGTATTTTTCAAATAAATGCTAATGGGTGAATTACGGACATCACACTTGCTACTTTGTTTGCTGCAGCTAATGCGGACGTTTCTAACGTCTCTCTCTGTCTCTGGAAAATTAGGAAATCTAGTCTTAACCACTGGCCAGCCCAAGACACTATTTTTGTGATTTAAAAAAATTTTTTTTTATGTTTTATTTATTTCTGAGAGAGAGAGAGAGACAGCGTGAACAGGGGAGAGACAGAGAGAGAGGGACACACAGAATCCGAAACAGGCTTCAGGCTCTGAGCAGTCAGCACAGAGCCCGATGCGGGGCTCAAACCCACAGACTGTGAGATCATGACCTGAGCCGGTTGGGTATTTTTGTGGTTTTCAAACCCCTCCTTCTCCCAGCCTCCTTGAATCTAATAACAGTGTTTGAGACACAGTTATCATGGTTGAAAGATGGGAACGCATCTGCTTCTTGCCTGGGTCGGGCAGTGGTTCACCCCTCTACACGTGGGGAGAAATGCTGGGATCCGAAAGTTCTATTTCTCTATAGTTTTCAAGTCCGCAAGGCAGAGAGTACCAGAGATCAGAGGGTGGAAACTGAGGCACAATGGGAGGCTATGACATGCCAACAATCACTCACCTAGTAAATGGAGAGGCTGTTCTTTCTAAAGTGGGAAGGGTGGCTTTCCCCAACTGGGGCATTGCAAACGAATGACCCATGGAGGGTTCAGGGCTCACTGCCCTGCCCCAGTGTTCTCTCCATCCCCCGGGATGATGTTGGCCACGCTATCATTAGGTGGTTTCTCTTTAGTGCCCAAAATCCATTATTCAATTACGTAAGTGGCCGGCTCAGTTAATAAGCTGAACTGATTGGTCATTTTAATCAAAGCTAAGAATTTTGCGGCAGCCTTTTTTGGATGTGCTGAAATAAGATAATAATGACTGGGGAAACAGAAGGAAACAGAAGTAGGTCACTTCAGTTTAAGCTCTGTGGTTTTTGGGGCGCCTGGATGGCTCAGTTAAGCATCTGACTCTTGATAACAGCTCAGGTCCTGATCTCACGGTCGTGAGTTCGAGCCCCACATCAGGCTGGTTTAGAGCCTGCTTGGGATTCTCTCCGCCACTGTCCCACTCACACACCCACTCTCTCTCTCAAAATAAATTAATAGGCATTTTAAAAGACACGTTATTAAAGAAAATAAACTCTCTGGTTGTTGCATCCAGTGTTGGTACTTTACGAGATTCCTGTCCTAACTTTATTCATTTGTTCTCTCTCCTTTCTTTGCCTTCCTTCAGTGATAAAGAACAGTGAGTATTTTGATGCTTTCGTTTTTCTACACACCGAATTTTATCTCTTTTCTGTTCAAATTAGCGGGGCCCCAGAGAGAGCCGGTTAAAAAAGGAACTAGCAAGTTTTACATATCTAAAAAACAAATCCAAGTTTCTTGAGGAAAAAAAATGAAATTTCAAAAAAACCGTCTTGGAAAAGGGTCTTGGTAAAGGGATGGAAAGCATGTCTTTCGAGAGCCCTCATCGTCACTCTTGTTAGTGATTTGCGGGATTCCAGCAAATTTATTGACCGCTCTGTGCCCGTTTCTCCAGCCTTTGCCTGGGAACAATGTTCTCAGATAAAGACAGTGGTGACTCACGTGACTGCTATCGTTAACAACAGGTGATGAGGAACGGGGCAGAGCCTTTGGGAAGCTACGTGCCACACAAATGGTCTCTGTCACCTCACGGGAGGTCATTCCGGTTTCCCAGTGAAGTGCCTTTGACGCAGAGGTCCTGTCTGTGCTTACGTCTGTGTTTTAAATTGGATTCATTTCCTCAATATGCATGACAGATTGAACGCTGGGTCCCATAAATGAGCAATCAGGCTGCAGAGCAGACCAGGCTTCAGTTGTGTGAGCACATGGAGAAGCTCTGAAAGCCATTGTTAGCCCCTTACGATGAGGAAGTTATTCCAGAACGACCAGCAGAGTTCTAGCTCTGGCATCAGACAACCCAGGTCTGCGTTCTGGTCTGGTGCTCAGTTTCAGTGTGACCTTGAGTGATGCCCTTCACTTCCTTGAATTCTAGCTTCCTCCTTTGTAAAATAGGAATGATAGCTCTGCCCTTCCTCTCTCCTCCTGTGGTGGAAGGATCAAATAAGATGCACAGGAAAGCTTTGTAAACCGTAAAGCACCAAGCAAAATCAGAGGCATGTATGAATTACAACCTTGCCTTACCTTTATGTGTATATATACATTGTGTATTTATGCATGGTGTGTATACATACTCACATATGCACACATGAACATATACACTGTATATACACAGGATTGTATATACCTTGTATTGTATATGTTATATTTATATCTGTAAATATATTACACACATACCTTGTGTGTGTGTGTATGTATCTTGCATAATTTGTTCAGCTTTTTTAGACCTACAGGACCATATCATCAGGCCCAGAATCCTTAAAAGTTTTCTTCATGCTAATAAACACTTAAATAGATGACCTGGGGAAATTCTTTCCTGCTTCCCTGCCTCTGACCCTCCCTCCCTATCTGTCAAATGGGGACTTTGAACAAGCTGATCACTGAACACCATTTGAATGTCCTACAATCTCTTGTTGGCTGGTAAGACCCTGGCCAGACAAAATCTGCTTTTTATGAAGATCATGGGTATATTATTCAGGCATCTAGGGAGGGAAGCTAAGACACTGTCTGATCATAAATACGAACATCACAAGAGAAGTTCATGACTCCAGAGGGTGCCAAGGCTCTTGGATCTTAGTGCCAAGGCTCGAGGTGCCAAGTACTCCTGAGTGCTGCGAGTCGAAAGGTAGGGTATGTGTGCATTCTCTTTCCCTCCTTCCTTCACCCCTTCCCTCCTCCCTTCCTCCCCTTCTCCCTCGCTCTCTTCATCCCTTCCTTCTTTTATTAGCACATGCTCACCAAGTGCCCACCACATATCAAACACTGTGCTAAGTACAGAGATGCAGGGAAAACCACAGCATGAGTATGTATCCAGTGGGGTCTACAAACAAATAAACAGCCAGTCAGCAACAAATACACAAGCGTGCAAGGAGCTATCATAGCAGAATAACAGTGGGCCTTGGGAACACAAGGAGAGGCACCTCACCCAGACTTGATGGCCCTGATGGGGGAGTTCCTGGAAGAAGTGATGTGTAAACTGAGACCAGGTGATGGAGGAGTAAGATGGAGAAGAGACAGCAGAGTTCCAGGGAGAGGAACAGCATGTGCTAAGCCCAAATATGAGAGGCAGCGTGGAAATTTAGAAGAACTGAGTAGAACTCAGCCTGACTTAAAAGATTAGCAGGAGCCTGAGATCCCCTTAGCAACCTAAAGGGGGTAGGAGGAACCCGAGCATCCTTTCTGTACCCCCTTTAGTCTGGTAGGGGCGAATTTCATCCGGAAGCCCCTTCAGGCCAGCAGGGCCTGTGTAAAACATTCGGTGGTGCAGCCACCCCTCCTTCCTCATCCTTTCCTCCAGGATTCATTAAAACCTCATTCACTGAGCTGTAAAGAGACTTCCTACCGACACCTGCCTGTGTTGGCATCCTGGGGGAAACGGGCGGCGGAGAAGAAGAAAGAAAGGAAAGAAAAGGATTAATTTTCTGCACACCGCTGCTATTTAATGTTTCAGAGCCTTCGTGCCCCAACAGCACTTGCCTCAACCTACTCCTTTTGGGAATTATAATTTATTAATAGAGACATCTGGTGGGTATTTATTACGTGACTATTGTGTGTGTGAAATGAAGGATCAAGGTGGGGGGCCGAAAGGAGGTAAGGGTCTGGCTTTTGCAGTATTTTAGGGAGGGACACCTGGGAGGGGCTTCCACCAGGATTCAGGACAGATCTCCTATGTGTTGGGGGCCCTGGATGTCAGCTGTGGCGGGAGGGCTCCTTCTGACCCTCTCCAGACGCCCCTGAGCAGGTGTGCAGCCAAAGCACGGCCAGGATGCCGGGTCCTTGAGTCTCTGACTCATGCGTGTGTCTCAGCAATTCCCTCCCCTCTCCTGAGTGCCAGTCAGCTGGACAAATTGCAGGCCAGCTGCAGTGATCTTTAAACTTTTTGTCAGCAGCGAAACTTTTTGAATAAGTTTAATTCAGAAGCTAGGTGTGTAAGACAGATAATAGGAGGGCTGGATAAAGACCTTTAGTGTCTGCAAGTCTTCAACATCTTATAGGGAGGTTGGATGCCCCTGGTCATTTCCAGTAGTACCAAACTATAAAATAAATGCAGACATGCTAACAGGCTTCACCTATCTGCGTGCTTGCCACAGTGGATACTGTATCAGTTAGCTTCTGCTGTGTAACAAACCATCTAAAAACTCAGTGGCATGTAGCAACCATCCTTTATTCTCCAGGATCTGGGCTTGCCTGGGCTTGCTTATGCATCAGAGGGGCTGGCTGATCTAGGACGGCCATGGCTGAGAGAGTACGGCTTCTTGCAGGAGCGGCACAATATTGCTCCCCCACATTTTATCGGCCAGGGTGAGTCAGAAGTCTGGAAAGGATTCACGTGTAGAGAAATAGCCTGGCTCTTTGGTGAGAGCGATTTCAAATTCACATGGTGAAGAGCATGGGTGCTTGCAAGGGTAAAGTATGGAGGTCATCAAGGCAGTAAACCATATTTCATGCTTTTACTAAATACTACGTTCTTTCATTTGTTTTCTCTTTGTCTTCTTTTTTGGTATCCCTCCTCTGCGAGTGCTGAGAAGCCAGCTGAGTGAGGACTGGGGGCCCCTGGTTGCCTCCTTACCATGTCCTTCTATCCCCTACTCCCCTGAAGCCCTTGAGATCCCTCCAGGGAACTGCTGAGCACAGTTTGGTGCGGGGGGACAGAGTGTGGTGGAATAGAAGGCAGACATCCTTCGATGTTTGTCTTAAGTATGTGGGTAAGATTGGAGCCTGGACAGGAAATCCTGTCTCAGCCAGCAAGCCAGGGGTCTCTCTTCATGCAGCCTTGGGGAGGCAAGAGTAGCCTCCGAGGGTCCCATCAGGAAACAGGAAAGAAATCATTCCCATTTAATGGATCCAGAAACTGATACTCAGAGCAGAGCAGAGCCCCAGTATACACACTGCTTATATGCACCAGACCCAGGATCACAAACTTGAACTCCACCGCATCAAGGAGGGCTCACATTGGCATGCAGTGGGCCCTCGGGGCGTTTTCTGGCTTGGATGTGATGCTGTGAGTAACTTGTTCAAAGAAGCAGTACTTTGGTCTTTGATCGTTCCCAACACTGGACTCTGGTCTTAGGGATGCAGAGCTGGGGTCCTGTGCTCAGACGGCCCTGGCAAAGGAGCCGCTGTCCTGTCCCTGGAGCGTTCTTGAGGACCCCATGCTGACAGTGCTCCTCAGCGTGTCAGGGAGGCCCAGCCAGGCCCATCTCCCCCTTGAGAGCAAGGGCTCTGGTTGGAGACACCATCTCACTTCTCTCTGTTTGCCTTTGGAATTAAAACACGAAAGTCCGCAGGAGGCTTGTGAGTCCCCACTGAGACCAGTCGGTGACATCTTCAAACACCGGATGAGCCGTTGGTCATCTGCATGTTTTGGAGCTGGGAACAGAGGAGGGGTTTGGAGAGAGGCTGGCAGCCTCTAGCGTACCTCCTGCTTGTCTGCGGGCGGAGGCAGATATCTGAGGCGGGCCGTCTTCGGGACCCCATCCCTGCCCGTGGCCCCAGAGCCTCGCATGATCAGCAGTACCCACATCCTGCGCACACGGGCCCCGTGAGGGGTGTGTTGGGCTGAGCAACGTCGGTTTCATGTCTGGCCTGTGACTGACCTTGCCCACGACCACACTGTGAGCCCCAGGAACACGTCTTGAAGGGGTCTCCGCTGAGAACACGGCCCAGCATCTCACTTGTGCTCTGGTTTTGGTCACTGAGCTGCTTTGTTAAGGCAGGAAATAAGTGGTGAGGGATGAGAAGAGGTGGAAGGAAGGAAAGTGAAGACAAAGGAGGGAAGAATAGGGGCGGTTGGGACACCCATTACTAGGGAAAGTCAGAGGGACCTGGGCAGGGGGAGCGGGTGGCTGAATTAGGTTGTGACTAAGGCTCTTTGGGAAGGATGGGTGGTCTTCATGATGCCAGAGTCCAGTGTATCCTTTAAAAATAATTGAAGAAATATCAGGCTAAGGGATATTAGCACACTGTAAGGAAGATCTTTCTAACACAACGTCACAGGCTCCTTGTGAGGGAGTGAGGTGTCCATTGTGGGAAGCATTCAAGCAAAGCCAGAAAGACCCCTGCTATGGAGGCCATGGCAGACAGACAATGGGCCCCACCTCCTGGTGTTCATGCTTTGTGAAAACCCCTCACCTTGAGGGTGGGTGGGACCTGGGACCTGTTTCTCACCTATAGAATACAGCAAAGGGATGGGACGCCTCTCTCGTGATTACATTCCATTTGATAGGACTCTGTCTCAGTTGACAAGAGCCAGATCCCCCTGGCACACTTGATGAAGCAGGCAGCCTCCAGGATGAAGTTGGAGAGGGCCACTTGGTTAGGAATTGCAGATTGCCCCCAGGACCCCAAGGACGGCCTCTTGCAACAGCGAACAAAAAGCCAGGCCCTCAGTTATACAGCAGCAAGGAAATGAATTCCACCAGCCACCCACATTTGCCTGGAAGCTGCCCCCCCACCCCGGTCGAGCCTCCAGGTGAGAACACAGTGCAGCCAACACCTGACTGTAGCCTCATGAGATGCCAAGCAGAGGAGCCGGCTTAGCCATGCCTGGATGGACACGGAAACTGTGAGATTACAAGTGTGTGTTATTTTCAGCCCTTACGTTGGTCATAACTTGTGATGCAGCAACAGAAAATATAGAAAATGTATACAGACATTGTAAATGGGGCTTTTTGCTCCTCTGTCTCTACCTTCCAGCTGCGTTTTTCCAGTGAACTGCAGGACAAATCACATCAACCTTAGTGGCTAAAAACAATGGAAACCATTTATCACGTCACCCAGTTTCCGTTGGTGGGAATTTGAGGGCGGCGTGGCCAGGTGCTTCCGGCACAGGGTTACTCGTGCAGCTGGAGTTGTCCTAGGGCTGGCTGGGGGCTGGAGGACCATGGAGCCATCAGGCTGGCGCTGCCGGGGACTGGGGGCCTCCGCTCTCCTGCACGTGGGGCTTCTCCACAGGGATGTTAGCACGTCCTCGTGACCTGGCATCTGGCATCCCCCCGGGCAAGTGATCCAAGACAACAAAGCAGAAGCTGCAACGTCTTTACGACCTGGACTTGGGAGTCATATGCTGCCCTTCCCACTGTATTTCATTGGTCACACGGAACCGGCTGGGAGTCAGTGTGGATACCAGGGGGCAGGGGTCCTACGGGGCCATCGTGCAGGCTGGCTACCACGTGGGTCTGATCTTCACCTCCTCGGGCACTCTGCCTGCTCTCTCAACTCCAAGCCTTTGCAGAGGCCACTTACTCCCTTGGCCTGGTCCGGCCTCTATTTCTGCTGTCCCCTCACGGACTTCAGCTTACCTTTGCAGCCTCCGCAGGGGCCCTAGTGCTGTTGTGGGGCCTGAAGCTTACATCATTTAGGGGGCCCTCTTTAAGATAAAGAAGACAAAAAATACCTTGCTTTTACAAATGTTTCAGTTCACAGGACATTGCTAATGCCCCTCCTGGGGTCTGGGAAGGTGCCTGTGTGGACAAACGGTGCTGAATGTAAGCTTTGCTTATATCAGAGCAGATCTTTGTCAGGGTCTTAACATGGCTGTCATTTCCCCAGGGAGCTGTCCTTGGTCCTTTAGACTAACCGATTTCCAGCGCTTAGGTCACACTTCGGATTAGATGTTTAACGTCCCTTTGGGCCACAGGGGACTGTGTCTTAATTCAGAAACCTTCTGTGCTCACTCTCAGGCACTATTCTAAATACGATTGACACAGTAGTGACCCAGACCCAGACAAGGCCCCTGCCTTCCTGGGACCAACATTCTGGTGGGAGGGGGTGGGGGAGAGATGCAATAAACAGGTAACAAAAGTTTTTAGAAAGATAATTTGAATTAATGATGCGTGCCATGAAGGAAATAAATCTGGGCAATGGGAGATCAAGGAAGGCCTCTCTGAGCAGCTGGTATTTGAACTGAGGCCTGAATAATGGGTGTTCCCAGCAGGGGGCACAGCAAGTGCAAAGGCCCTGAGGCAAAAACAAGGTTTCAGTGTTCAGGACTGAGGAGGGGGTCAGTGCAGCTGACTCTAAGAATAAGGGAGAGCAAGAGGCCATAAGGATGGAGAAGAAGGTCAAGGACAGACTGGGTACCATTTTGCAGATGAGCTAAAAGAGCAGGTCTTATTTTTATTTAGGTAATATTCATGCAATAATATAACCTGATCTATTTTAAAGTGTATAGTTCAGTGGCATTTATCATATTCCCAATGGTGTTCACCCACTGGCTGTATGTAGTCCTGGGTGTTAATCTAAGCCAGTGCGAAGCCATTGGAGGGGGGTTGAGCAGAGTGGGCCGAGTGTGTATCAATTGTTCAGCCTGAGGGCCCTGCTGCAAGACAAGGGGTGTTTCCATCAGCATTTCCCCAGGCCACACCCCTTCCTTCCCTTTCCCAAAATCAAGCTCGCCCAAGACACCTGCTTCTCTTGGCTTCCAGACGCTTCCTTCTCTGCTCTTCAGAACAAACAAGCTAAGGGTGGGAGAATGAAAGAGAAGCCGGGGGAGGGAGGAAGATGGGGCTTTTAATTTCCAACTTTGAGTGTCAAAAGGCAATTTCATGCCTGCTGATGTGATTAAAGCAATGGAAATAATAGAGGCAGACAGCTAATGGGGTGCTGGGTCCGGAGGATTCCTACTCTACTGATTTTTTTCCCCTAACGGAGACATGACTTTCTAGTGGTATTTAACCTTGCATTCCGCTCAGGGGGTGCACCTCAGGGCCATGGACCGTCTTATTAGCAGAGATGATGATAACAGCACTAGCTCTCTGCCCGGCCACCTTTGACCCTCTGCGCCATCCCCAGGGCCACAGGGCAGGCCTTCTGTCCCCTCTGTGTGGTGGAAGTCGAGTGTGCAGCCTGCCCCGAGTCTGAATTCCACCTCTGCCACTTCCCAACCGTGTGACTTTGGGCCGGTGGTCTCACTGCCCCGTATCAGGGTCTCCTCACCAGTAAGCTGGTGGTAACAGCCCCGGCCTTGTAGGGGCGGTGTGTGGATGCACTGGGATCATGTGGGCACCCGGGGGATGCCGTGTCAGTGCTGACTTTAAAAAAAGAAAAGAAAAGCCAAGAAAAGCACAAGATGGAATGCAAAATGCTACAGGAGCTTTTGAGGCTGGAAATCTGGATGTTTTTGTGAAATTACGAGCTTTGTGTAAATCCTGTTGGCAATTCATTCCAATCTATAAAGGAAATAATCTGCTGCACAAACAGACACAGTGCAGGCAGGAGCTGGGTCAACCTGGGACCCGGACTTCCCGCCCTCTTCCCAGAATCATTTCCCCTCTGGCTGTGGGGTCTACAGTTCTGGATTCTTCTCCTGAGATCATCCTTATTCTTGGGGTTCTCACGAGCTCCCTACAAATGCTGCTCACAGAAGGCCTACCATGTGCTGAGCATTCAGTAGACATAAGCTCATCAGAACGCTATGAGGGAGGAATGTGTCCCATTGTAGAGGTGAGCAAACTGAGGCTCGTCTCCTAGCAGGGATTCGAACTGAGGCCACCAGGGACCAGAACCTAATCACAGTCTGCTCCCTGCTGCGGTTCTCCACAACCTCACGCCTTCCCATGTTACCTTTCAGGCTCCAGGCAGGCTGGCCTGTCCACCCCAGCGGTCAGCCCGACAGACAGAGGAAGCAGGAAGAGCTGACAGATGAGGAGAAGGAAATCATCAACAGAGTGATCGCGCGAGCTGAGAAAATGGAAGAGATGGAGCAGGAGCGAATCGGGTGAGGCCTGACACTTCCCACCAATACAGAGAGCCCCCGAGGCCTGGGGGCTGGCAGTCTGTGCTGGGGTGGGGTGGGGGGGACTTCCCCGAGGGTTCGCCACCTGTGCGCCAGACCGCTGACCCTGCAGGACTGATATCCTTGTGGCAGGAGGTGGGGGAGCTCAGGGAGGAGGAGAGAGAATCGGCTGGGGGCTGGCGAGTGAGGGGACTTTGAGACTAGGGCTGCCTTACCGAGGGGGGGCTCTCATAGGGTGGTAGGAGACTGTCGTCGGAGCCTGGGGGCCCGTGGTTGTGAGCGCAGGGTGTCTTGGCCAATTTCTGCTGCACAGAAATATGTTCCGGAGACACTACGGACCCGAATGTGCAGCCGAGGGAGAGCTAAGGAGAGTGTCTGTCTAGGGACAGCATCACACATAGCGCATTGGAAATGAATTTATGTAAGAGAATTGCAGAACTCGTTCTCGGAAGAGAGAAACTGCATGAGAGGGAGGCAGCAGGCATTAGCCTGATGAGTCTGGACTTGAGGAAGCCCAGGGTTTTGTCCCAGTTCCCTGTTGCCCGCTGTGGGTCCCGGGCATGATGCTTCTCCTCTCTGGGCCTCAGTTCGCTCACTTGTCGAGTGCGGGACACGACAGTACTTATCCCACGGGACTGCTGCAAGCAGTAGATGAGATGACGCATGTACGCTCCCTGGCCCAGACCCTGGTGACACTCAGTGTTTCATAAGTGGTGAGAAGGGAAAAGTAGAGTCTGGAGAGCAGGTAGTTTTAAAATGTGTATGGGAGAGAAGCGAGGGATAGAAGGAGGCTGTGACGGGTGCGTCAGAGAGTGACGAAATCAGCGAGCACGGCAGTGCTAGGGAGCGAGGGAGCAGTGTGCGGGTGGTCTTGCGGAGGGAGGAGTGGGAAAAAGGGGGTGACCATGGGGCGGGGAGGTAAGGGGCGAGCAGGGACCAAGGACAGCGTGTGTGGATGGGGGCTCTTGGCACAGGGGGAAAACTGGCTGTCAGGACGCCAGGCCACTGGAGGGTCCTCCAGACCAGGATCTCAAATGGACCTCCTCCTCCCCAGCCCCCTCCCCAGTCCCCCTTCTGCCACGGGCGGCCTTCGCCAATTGCTTGCAACTGACGTAGGCACCGAGGTGCCCATTTATGTCCCTACCCTCACACTCAGCTAAGGGTTAAAGAGGTTCTTGGATGGAGAGTGGAAGTTGGTGCCTCTGGTCTGAGCCTCAGCAGATAATTTTACTCAGGGTGGATGGGGGGGCACTACTAACATGACAAATGCCTGCCACCTACTTCCTGTGTCAGCTTCACGCTCTGCCCTCCATCCATCCATCCCAGAGGCTGCTGAAGGGAGAGATCTCAAGGGGCCTGCTTATAGGATTGAATTCTTAATTTTGCTTTTTATTATTTTTTCACTTTTAAGTTTATTTATTTTTAGAGAGAGAGAGAGAGAGAGAGAGCATGTGGGAGAGGCAGAGAGAGAGGGAGAAAGAAAATCCCAAGCAGGCCCTGCCCTGTCAGCGCAGAGCCCGATACAGGGCTCGAACCCATGGAACCGTGAGATCATGACCTGAGCGAAAACCAGGAGTCAGATGCTTAACTGATGGAGCCACCCAGGCACCCTTTAATTTTGCTTTTTAAAAGATCTATCAAGAGTGGGGAGTTGTCCAGGCAGGAGGTCTGTGAATGTGTGTGTGTGTGCACACCCACGCCTGTGTGTGTGTTCACTTCACTCAACAATGGGCCTCAGCCTTTTGGAAGTGAGAGACATGGGTATTAATGAAGTGGGAGATATGGGTATTAACAGTAAATACTTACAACCAAAACTCCTCTCAGCCATTTTCCGGCAGAGCACCTACCACCAGATAACATATTTTATATTCTATATATTTATTTTGACTATTGTACATCTCTCCCCTATTAGATTGTAAGATCCCCGTGGGTAGAGATTTTCACCTGTTTTGTTCACCAGTGAATTCTCAGAGCCTAGTACGCAGTAGGTGTGCAGTAAAATGTTCGTTGAGTAAGTGAGTGAACATGGCGGACCGTATTGCCCCAAATTTCTGTAGACCTCCCCTGTGGCCAAGGGGAATGATGGGCAATTTAGAATCTTGTACCTGAGGGTCCAAATTCCCAGGGAAGGCACTCTGATTGGCTGGCTTATGTCAGGGGCTCTTGTCCAATCAGCTGTGGCCAGGGGTGCCAGCCATGTTCAAATGTACCAGGTGGGCTGCCTCTGAGGGTAAACTTAAGGAGGTCTCTGTGGGCTGAGCAGATGTCAGTAGGAACATTCTAGAATATTCTAGAACAGGATAGATGGGTTCCCTGCCTTGTCCTCCACATCCTGTCATGTTGCCTCGACTAACTAGATGATATGGCGGAATAGCATGGTGGTTAACAACTGGGGACCCAGAGTCAGAGATACCTGGGTTCAAACTCCAGCTCTCCCACTTACCCTGTGACCTAAGGTACACCACTTTAGCCTCTCTGTGCCTCGGTTTCCTGATCTGTAACCTGGGGACAATATCGGCACATAATTCTTCGTGAGTGTTTAATTAGGATGCAGAGGTTATCGTCATGCCTGGCACAGAACACACGTTCCATAAGCGGTGGATGAATTTGCTTAGGAAGCTCGGTTGTTGATGCCGGCCAGGGCCTCCGTTCTAGAATTATGCCCCGAGACGCCTGTTTGGCAAGCCCTGGAATTCCAACAGCCCTGGCTTCCCCTAAAGGAGATTTGAGAGGCTTCCAGGGAGGCCGGGGCCAACCCTTGATGACAGAGTGTCCCTGTGCTGAGATGTGCTTTCTGCCAGAGTGGGGGAGGACAGTCCCACAGGATTCTGGCTGTGGCTGATTCCCTGCCCTGTTCTAGTAGCCAGTGCCTCCTGGTACCATTGCCAGAGGCAACCCCGCCGCCGTTTGTGTCTTACGATCTCAAACCTGCCCTCCTTCCTGTTCTATCCGTGCTTCCCCGCGAGGGGATCAGAGCAGAGTCAGATGAAAGCAAGAGGTTTCATCAGACGCAAGATGAAGCAAGTCTGAAAACGGGGTGCCATCGGGGGTCCCGTTTCAGAATCCGAGGTTCTCCGTTAATGAGCCTTTGGGGCCTCAGTTGTCCCACCCGTCTAATGAGTCAGGTCAGTCTGACTCTCAGGATCCTTCCTGCTCAGACTCTAGTGTCTGGGCCCGTCAGATGGAGGACCCCAGCCCATGCTGCTGGCTGCCCCTCTCAGAGCAAATGAGCTCCTTCTAACTGTTAAACATGCAGATGTATGTGAGAACCCTTCTGGGTTCACCCGGCTCTATGATGTGGAGGCTTCCGGGAAGCAGTATGAAATCATCGTTCATAAACATAATAAACAATCATCACACCGGGTACCATTTATTGAGCACTTAACTTTGTGCCAAGCACCGAATCTAAAACCTCCTGTAGATTAACTCCCTAACTGCTTCTCTCAACCCTGTCAATAGGTGCTATTATTAACCCCCTTTCACAGGCGAGGAAACAGGCTTCGAGAAGTGATTTGCCCAAGGTCACTTAGCCAAGGTCACATAGAGCCAAGGTATACACCCCTATCTGGCTGACTTTCAGAATTCTGCTTTTAACGCTTAGCTGTCTTGGGCATCTTTCCTGAAGGCCTGGCCCCAAATTATTAGACTCCAAAGAACATGAAGATTTGTGAAGCCCGGATTTGTAAAGCCACCCCTGGGAGCCCCAGGCAAGCAGCAGATAAGCACGGCTCTCTCCCAGAAGCCTCTTTGCTTCTGCCCCAGAGGTGGGGCGGGGGTGTGTGTGTCTAAACCTTGGCTCTCACCACTCAGCCCACAACCCAGCCCTGCGCTCTTCAGCGTCCCCGGAGAGGGAGATGATGGTCCGAAGGGAAACTCATCAAACAGCCTCATTTTGCCCCCACACTCCTTACTGGGGTGCTAAGAGGGACGTCAGAGTTTATTCAACAGGCCCTGACTGCTATTTGCAGGAAAGGAAATTGATTCCAGGGAGGTGGCTTGAATGACCTATTCTTACTCCGTAAACAGCCACCCAAAACTTCGTGACTGAAAGAAACCACAAGTATTGTTTCTCAGGATCCTGTGGGTTGAGAATTGGGGCAGGGCTCTGCTGGATGGGTTTTCGGCTCCATGGGGGCACAGGCTGGGGTCAGTCCCTCAGCTGCATTCAGCGGGTGGCTGGGCTGCCCTGAGAGCTCCAATCCCAAGTCTGTGCTCCAAGGTTCTCTTTGCGGCCTGCTCTCTCTACGGGATCCCTCCGTTTTCAGTAGTCTGGCCTATGCTGTTTTATGTGGCAGCCAGATCCCAAGAGAACAAAGATGGAAGTTCGCCGGGATTTTTAGCAGCTGGGTCTGGAGCTGTTAGGGCATCACCCCTCCAAATTCTCCTGGAGAGGGGAAGCAGGTCCCTTCTTATGGAAGAAAGCCTTGGGCCACCAGGGAAGGAAGGCATTGATGGAGGCCATCTTTGGACACTTCACCACCTTCTGCAAAAAGGGGAGTTTAACATAAGGGTTTAGAGAGATCTCAAAGGGATCCAAGGGCAGGGACACAGCCTGGCCTCATGGAAGTTTGGCTCCTCATCTGACATATTAGAAAATATGCCAATGCTATACCTCCTGGGTTTTTTGTTTTTTTTTTTTAATTTTTATTTATTTTTGAGAGACAGAGAGAGACAGCGTAAACAGGGGAGGGTCAGAGACAGAGGGAGACACAGAGTCTGAAGCAGGCTCCAGGCTGTGAGCTGTCAGCACAGAGCCCGACACGGGGCTCAAACCCACTGACCGTGAGATCGTGACCTGAGCCGAAGTCGGACGCTCAACCGACTGAGCCACCCAGGCGCCCCCCTCCTGGATTTTTATAGCTCTTCTTAGTCCTAATTCCAGATTCCCAGAGAAGGAGCCCTGACTGGCCCCGCTCACCCTGTGCATTCACCTCTCACCCAATCAGCCGTGGCCAGGGCCTGCCAAGCTACAGACGTGGCTG